GATACAAATGTGGTAATTAAGAAACAACATAAACATAAGAATTACTAATTTGTTACTGAATCTGTTCAGTTTATAACAAAAATCTAATGAACATTTGTGTTTAAATTAAAACTTCATAATGATGTTCAATAATTTATTAAAATTTAAAATATATTATTGTTACGGTAATTTATTTTTTCATTCAATTATACTAACTGGATAAAAATGATGGTGGACATGCAATCTGTAGCTGTGAAGATCATTGTTCTTGTGCCTTTATCATATTTGTGGAGGTTGATGTAATTGAACATTTGCATTGAAGTCATTTAACTGGGATGAAATCCCATAAATATAAACCAAACGCAGGCATTCACAATGGACACAAAGTGGATGGTATTTAAGACCCAGTTCCCTCAACATAAAAGTAAGCTAAATTCCAAATCAATTTAAAAGCCTTACTATTGCTGGGATAAGGTTGTCATTAGAAGATTTGACCACTAAGTGGCAATCTTAGCTTGCTAAAGTAAAAAATAAAAACAAAAATCTCCACCCTCTCCAGCGCATTGCAGATATCTGATCTTGGAACAAAAATTTGGTGGCAACTCAGACCACCAATCACAGAAAAAGATAAAAGCTGGAATTTATGATATGCTATAATTAAAATAAAAGATCGGCAGGAATAGATTTTTTTTAAAAAAAAATGTCAATAGGAATAAGGAAATCCTGGTGAGACTGGCTTCAGAAATGCTTCCCAACCCTTTTACTAGCAATGGCCATAGGAGATGCCTGTATTTTCTTTTGTGTCACAACGTAATATGGGGTGGGGGGGAAGTGTGCATGTGTGCATTCACATTTTCTCCTAGGGACTAATAAGTGTCTGTAACATACTCTTGTATATGTTTGTTTGGAACAGTATAATCAATGTGGGTTCCTTTCTGGGTTGTGTACATGTGGGGATGTGTCTGCTCTGTCCCCATTTTGTGTTGTCTTTGTGAACATATGCCCTGAAGGCACAGGATCAGCTGTTTGGGAATAATGAGGAGAGGAGTGCTCAGAATGGAAGAGTCAGCACCATTCTAAGCCACTAAAGCAGTGGTTCTCAATCTTTTTAATGCCGTGACCCCCAACCGGTCGTAAGTCGAGGACTAAACCGGTCGTAAGTCGAGAACTAAACCGGTTGTAAATCAAGGACTTTCCCTGTCCGGGAGTGCCGCGCATGCGTGGTGCCGCCCCCTGCGCCTGACAAGGCGTAGCTGGCAAGCAGCAGAGACGGAGCAGGCCGACCACCGGCTGGGCCAGCCCAAGGGAGATAAGGTACCCGCCAGAAAAGGGGAAAAAATGGCGGACAGCCTTGCTTGGCGACCCCCGTGAAATGGTCGATCGACCCCAAATGGGGTCGCGACCCATAGGTTGAGAACCGCTGCACTAAAGGTAGTGACCATTTGGAAATTACGATGGACTTCCAAAAGGTACTTACAACATGGTTCCAAATTTACATGACTATATTTTGGGTACTCAGCAACCAGACTGCATTTACAACTGTTTGTAATATCACACGGTTACATAACCGCTATTTGCAACATTTTTGCCAAAATACATGGCATTTACTTCAGGTTTTTGACACCCCATGGCAAACGATGGGTTTGCTTAATGACCGCCGTGTTTGTTTAACTTAGCAAACTTAGCTATGGTGCTCGCTTGACAACTGTCACAAAAAAATGGTCACCTGGGTGACCTGCTTTATAATGTAATTGTAATGGGCAGGCACCATTGCAGTTGTAAGTCTCAAATTACCTGCACAACACTGCCAATCTCTGGAGGAATTGTTCAGAATGTATCTATTTATTAACTGTGTCGGGTGGGGTTCTGAATCCATTTCTGGGACTATGTCTGGTGAGAATAAAGATTCAGATTTGTTCATTTTGCACAGCAAAAAAGCCAAATTGTTTGGCTTTTCTTTCTCTTACTGGGCTATGAACAAGATTCCGTTGTCCAAACTAGCCCTGATATTTGCTAATAAAATATTTCACGCACACATGAAACAATATAGCTAAACTATTAAACAACTTCTAGATATAGAAACAGGAAATCCCAGAGTCACATGTCTTCCTAAAACTTTCAGGTGGTGGCGGTGGCACTGGACTTCCCCTACCACTTTGAAAATGGTAGTACAGTTTCCTGTCCTTTTGAGATAGATAAGTATGGAAACTGAAGCATAAATACTATGATAATTCCCCACCCCAAAAAAAGTCCCCAGCAATCACTGCTCTTCTGACATAGAATCTCACCCCACAGTGGTTCTTATTATTTCCAAAATTTATCCTACACTAACTCATAATCAGTATTTTGTTATAAACATTTACGAATCATGTTGATTCATCCAAATGCATATTTATTCCAGCATATTGTTCCAGAAATGGTCAAGATTCAAATGAATCGGGTAAATCCACACAAAGAAGACATGAATACAATAGTGTCCTTTTGCCTGATTTCCCTAGTAATGTATTAACTGTGCCTCATGGGCAAAATATGGGATGTAAATAATAAAAACAAGATATTTCTTCCGATACTGGAGAAAATACATAATATCATTTATAGTAGCCACAATTAATTCATGAAAGACAAACCTATCAAACCTTATTTAAAGCCACCCAACCTGATGGCTATTATGAACAGAGTAGAGTAGCATAGAGTAGAGTAGAGTAGAGTAGAATAGAGTAGAGCAGAACAGAACAGAATAGAATAAAAAGCTGGAAGGGACCTTGGAGGTCTTCTAGTCCAACCCCGTTCAGGCAGGAAATCCTATACCATTTCAGACAAATGGTTGTCCAGACTCTTCTTAAAAACTTCCTGTGTTGGAGCATTCACAACTTCTGGAGGTAGGTTGTTCCACTGATTAATTGTTCTAACTGTCAGGAAGTTTCTCCTTAGTTCTAGGTTGCTTCTCTCTTTGATTACTTTCCATTCGTTGCTTCTTGTCCTGCCTTCAGGCGCTTTGGAGAATAGTTTGACTCCCTCTTCTTTGTGGCCACCCCTGAGATATTGGAACACTGCTATCATGTTCCCCCTCTTTCTTCTCTCCATTAAATTGGACATACCAAATTCCAGCAGCCGTTCCTTATATGTTTTAGCCTCCAGTCCCCCGATCATCTTTGTTGCTCTTCTCTGTACTCTTTCTAGAGTCTTAACATCTTTTTTACATCGTGGTGACCAAAACTGGAAGCAGTATTCCAAGTGTGGTCTTACCAAGGCATTGTAATGTGGTATTAACACTTCACATGATCACATAACACTTCATATGATATTTTAGAGTAAGTTATAAAGACCCATCTTCTTTGATCTGTTATGGAGCTTCCACCGTTCATTTTTAATCAGTGACTCAGACGCTAATTATTACTGTATGTAAGAGAGATTCTCTTTCTCCACATTCTCTGCACCATGCATGAATTTAAATATTCCACAAAAATGTATTTGTTGTGGTGCAGACCATTATAAAAATAAGAGAGCATGTATAAACATATAAACAATATCTCTGTAAACAAGTCAAATTTGGCCACACCACTGATTTATGTAGAAGAATTAGGATAGTGTTAATTTCAGATTTCTTCCCTAATCTTCAACATGAATGCGTTAGTTGCTTTTTTTTCTTGACCTAGACAATTATTGGGCGATATGTATTATAACCTTAAGATAATTTTCTTGATTGACAATAACACAGTGTCTAAGGTGCCTTGCTTCAATATTCATGTTTTAATATATATACTGACCTCATTTTAGTGCCTATTTCCTATCAAACTGATGTAAGCATAATTTATGTAAACGAACTCTGAAACCTTATGTCTGCATTGGTTAGGAAAACAGGATATTGACACAAGAAAGAATAATAAAGGATTGGGAAAGTAGTAATGCTACCCATTTTTCTGCTTCTTTTATATTCATATGATTTATTCATTATTTCCATCTGGGAAATTGCACAGTTTTATTACCTTTATCAATAGGTTTATTTATTTCACTTATTTATTTCATAGTATGCTAATTATATAAGACTTCAATAATTTCTGTCAGGTACAGACTTTTGTTAATAATGCAATCTAGCTTTCCAATAAAATATTTATAAGCAAATAATGTGAGGCAAAACTTATCAAACAAAAGATATAAACTATTAAGTAAATATTGGATTAGGATAAGTATAAAATATAAAATCATGCTAAAGTCAGTTCAATTATCTGAAATGGATAATTCAGTCAGTTCCCTTTTAGGCATCTGGTTCACATGGTATGTTAATAATTTATTTTAGAAATCTTGATTTAGAAATGCTTTGTTGTGTGAAGGTTGTGCCATGTTAAACTCTTGTTTTTGATATGTTTTAGCTTATTTTGGATAAGTCAATGCAGGTAATCCTCGTTTAGCAAGCACAATTGGGACCAGTAACTCAGTTGTTAAGTGAAGCAGTCACTAACTGAAACACTAACCGTGCTTATGATCTTTACTTCCGGCTTTCATTTGCTTTCTAGACCCATGAAGGTTGTAAGTATGGGTCATAAAGTTATTTTTTCACCACTGTAGTAACTGCAAATGATTGCTATATGAGGCAGTCACTATGGAAGTTTTGACCATGACAGCAGTATTAATAACAGAAATACTTTACTAATTTAAGAACACTGAAGTTACGTATTTTATTAAAATATACTCTTTCCATTATTTAATGAGCTAATGATCCGAAATAAGCTGTTTGGGCATTATATGTTTTAGGAGGTGTATAACCGAAGTGCTAATAAGTTAAGGAAATTTGAAGAGATCAGGAGTTTCTCAATTCATTCACAACTAAAGACATATTCACTAATACGTATATATGAAGATATCATTAATTACAGAGAGAACCACATAGAGATAGGACCTAAACCTTTTGAATTGAGGTGTACATTTATACATAAATAAAACTGACTAGATTAAATATATATATATATAAAAACAATATGCAACTTACACTGATGTACTTGATACAATGACTATTTTCTTACCTGATAATGTATTTCTTTTGAATCAAGTTCTCCAATCTGTAAAATCAGAATTGTATAATCAATTACACCTCATAAGGAATGGAATTTTGTGTGCAGACATAGAAAAACTCTGTTCAAACGTTTTATTTGCCTTCATTTTGTATGGGTTCTTACTGAGCTACCAAAAATCTTGCTTAATATCAATGTGTAGTTCAACATTCATAATCTTTTTTACATTGCATGAAGACATGCATAACAGAGAAAGAACTATCTTATTTACTGACAGACACAAAATGTTACATGGATGTGTGTCTATATATAGAAGAAACTAGACAATAAAGGACTTCTTTGGCCATGTCATGCATGCAAATTCATTGGGGAAGTCAGTGATGCTAGGAATGGTTAGTGGATCAAGAAGGGGCATGCAAGGATTGAAAAATGAACATCCAACACCTGAAAGAAGCTGTGCTTGGCAGGGTAGCATGGAGAGCACTTGCCTATAAAATCACCAATCACAACTAAATAGTTAAAATTAACTACCTAAGACAGGGATGTCAAACTGCCGGCCCGTGGGCCGGTTGCATCATATGAAGGCCACACCCACTCCAGCCCCGGCAACGCAAAAAAAGTTGTGATATGTCACGACACGTCACATGACGCGGCAAGTTTGACACCCGTGACCTAAGACAATAAAGGGTCATCATTTCAGAGATATTTCTTTACCTAAACAGAGAAACAGAATGACCAAAGGGGAAAAAAAAGCAGTGGGAGTGGGATCAACTTGTAATTTCTTGCCGGCTTGATCATAGCTGATCACCCTTCAGCACCCAAAGGTGGGACTGGTCTACCTAGCATCTAGAGCAGTGTTTCCCAAACTTGACAATTTTAAGGCATGAGGACTTCAACTCCCAGAATTCCACAGCCAGCAACGCTGGCTGTGGAATTCTGGGAGTTGAAGTCCACATGCCTTAAAATTGTCAAGTTTGGGAAACACTGATCTAGAGGATCAGAGCAGGACTGGTCTACTGCTTCTCAGGTGACAGCACAGGAGCACCGAAGTGACCACAAATATGCCAGACAAGAGTCATGTATCCCGGATTTTGTACCCATTTTGTAAGTTAGCCCATTTGAGGTACCTTGGTTCAAAAAACTGTTGCCTTATGATGCACTATTTCACTCACTTAAAAGTTACAGGCACAAGAGTTTTAGTAGTATATAGAGATTCCCAGAAAAAGTGAAATTAGATCTACTTATAATAGTAAGTCATACCTTTAACTGAGCTACTGAATAACCCACAACTGGTTGGATAAAAACACCACACTAAATCAAACAACTTCCTTATAAACCACAGTCACCAGAATTCACCCAGTGCACTAAGCCCAAATCAACCAGATCATTAGGTTCAGTGCAAGGCGTGAGCCAGATCAGAATATGTGATTTTAAAATCCATTACCCTAACAAAAATTTAAAAAAATAATCAAGACAGAACTGCACATGATTCTTAAGAAATATGCCTACTGATAGAATGGATTGTAAAATTAATGAATTCAAAGCCCTGTGTATGTATGTTTGTATATATGTATGTATGTGTATGTATATATATATATATATGAAATCTAATTACCTTTCAGAACTCAAGAGAAAAAAACTCTATCGTTAGAGAGACCTCTAATCTGAAAATCAAGCTTGAGATAGTCTGATATTATGACCTATGTTTCTTCCCACTTTCATTTCACAATTTTATTCTCATCACAAAATAGACTACTAGAACGGTAGAGATATTATAAAGCCATCTAGTTTTCTTTTCCTTATTTATTCCTAATACTTATAACATTTAATTAAAAGCCATAAAATTAAAGGTACATACTTTGTTTCAATATTATTAAGATGCAATTTTGCAGGATATTCCAATATTAAAGCAACAAAACTTATAATGGGCATGCTGTGTATCCCTCTACAATCTCAGAGTCCTTCAGCTTTAAGTCAATAAATGTCATCATGTTTTTACACCAGCATCACTATCACTTCCCAGAATTTAAATAGTTCCAAAAGAGGAAGGAGAAATTTCTATTTTGCTACTACCCTAACTGTTGGTCAGCATTTATTACAGAGGAAGTATACATATTCAGTAAAACTAGTTAGAAAATAGGGGAAATCCAGAAGAACATTAATGAGGAAATTGGTGTATGATTAAAAGCTCCATGTTTTCAAATCATTATATGCATTTTGAAAATCATTTCAACTATTAACATTTAAATTTAAATTCAGAGAATTTAAATCTTAGCATCACATAAATCTGTTGATCCTGAATCAAAGTTTCTACACATACATTATATTAAATAAATATAATACATTATATTAAATATAATGTATAATATAATGTAAGTACACCTATACTTACTAAAGGTGTGGTATAAATCAAACAAATAAATTAAAAATAAATTTATAATGCAGCAGGATTATTAATGCTGGGTAGTATTATGTTTTCATATTTGGTTTCCTACATCCATTTTTAAAAAGACCATCTGTCATAAACATTTATAACATACTCTGTAACAATAGAAAATGAATGCAAAAAAATGTCTGCAGTATATCTAATAGGCTTGACTGCAGAATGAATAGTTGAATGAATGATCTGATATCAGCAATTATTTAGGACTACATGAATGAATGATCAGATTAAAAAGGAATTTAAAGATCAATTACCTTAATGACCTTTCCTTAATAATTCAAATGATGATAATGTAGGAAGATCTAATAATACATTTATTAAATTGGGACAGGGGCCCTATGACCTCCAGATTTTTAGATTTCTAGATCTCCAGATATCGAAGTCTCATTACCTCAGGTATTTATATAGAACTGATGAAAAATTGAAATCTACAGACAACTAGGTGGTTGCTGATCTCCAATTATTTATAATCCTCTATCCTAGTGGGGATCTGTTCACTAGTATGTTAATACCTACTAGATTTCTTTCACTTGATGGCTATCTAGCGGGGACTTGTCCAGGCAATTTCTGAAAATGGGATGTGATTAAATAAAAGAAGAAAAATCTATCTGTCTGTCTGTCTGTCTGTCTATCTATCTATCTATCTATCTATCTATCTATCTATCTATCTATCTATCTACCCATCCATCCATATCTCTCTCAAAAAAAGAAAAATAAAAAAGAAAATTACAACATTGCCTCCTAGAAATTAAATGTGGGTGGAAACAGCCCAGAACTTTGTATGGGAATACTTAAAAAAAAAAAAGAAAGAACACATGCCTAGAAAATTAAAAAAAAAAAAAAAGGTAAAATGAATACTTGAAGTGGGTAAATCTGAGAAGTATTTTTACCAGTTTGCCTTTTAATAAAGGAGTATTTAATGTTTGGATAAATTTACCAAAGCAGCTATTTATGAGAGTGCTCATATTATTCTAAATAACTTCTGTTTAGATCGTAACACTTATAGCTATACCAATAGTATTTTTTCAGGAAAAATAGTTTAATAAAAAAAAAATACCTCCCTCCCAAAAAATATATTCAACTTTGTAAACTCACCTGTTTAAAAATTCTCCAATTTCTCCTGGAGATCTAAGAGGAAACCTGCAAGTTTAAATTCAGAATATTAATTTTATTGTAATTCATTGGTTTAAGGAAATGCACTATAAAAAAGGTAGACTACATAATTTTATATATACATGCTGATAAATAAAAGCAGGTATTTAGCATTTGGAAGTCTTTCATCAATGTATAGGCTGATTAAGACACTGGGAATGTTCCCTTCCACACAAATGATCTCATATAGTGTTTTGCAGTTTGACATTACATTTAAAACACTCTTCCTGCGTCATTCTTAAAACTTTCTAGCCAACTTCCTTCTCTTTTCCCATATTAAATATACACTAAGAAGATATTTTTGAAATACAGAACCAGGATTATAGATAGGTTATTTCCAGTCAAAGACTCAACCACTAGGCTCAAACATGTTCCAATAATTTGGTCATCTCTTGCTCATCATTAGTGATTCAGCTACAGTACTGCTAGTTATTCTCAGAATCAGCCGAATTCATTTGTTGTCTTGCTGAGTAAAGCTTAACCGAAATCAAGAAAAACAAGCGTCCTCCACACCATTATAACTATAAGAACAACAAACCAGGGCACTTTCCAGGTAAAACTGATCTCCAATGTTTAAACCAGAGGTCTTCAAACTTGGCCCTTTTATGACTTGTGGACTTCAACTCTCAGAATTATGGGAGTTGAACTCCACAAGTCATAAAAGGGCCAAGTTTGAAGACCCCTGGTTTAAAACATCCCAGTAGAGATACATTAGCACCATTTTGCTTGCCGCCTCCTCCTCCTCCTCCTCCCCCTCCCCCTCCTCCTCCTCATTCCACACAACTCCAAATGACTCAGGATGGTTCACATTAAAAGGAATAAAACCATACAATAATAAATAATAATACAAGATGATAAACCAAAGAAGAGCAAAAACAAACCCACACAACTTAAAGGGGCTTTTCCTGATGGTGCCCCTCTGCTGATTTTTCAAAGAGCATTGAAGGGCTAGCTCTTGCCTAGGCTCACCAAACGCCTAAGCAAGAGCTTCAATGCTCTTTGAAAAACAGCAAGATGGGGACCATCAGGATCTCATGGGAAACCTCATTCCAGAAGGCAGGCATTGTGCCAGAGAAGGAGTGCTTCCAAGACTCCAACAAACGGCACTGTTTAAGTGAAGACATCTAGAGTGGGCCAAACCACCCGATGGAATCAGCTTGGCTGTTATGATGGGGGATAAGCACTATCCTGAATCACACTCAGAAGCAAATTGGCATAGTTTGCAGTTCATAGGCAGGAGGAGTGTTACATGGTTATGAGGCCTGCCCTGCTGTGATTTTCCAGGGCAGTCCCTGTACGATGTATTGCAGCAGTGAAGCCATGATTTATTTACCTAGGAATAAAAATACTTTTGCCTCTTATCCAATAAAATACAAAGTTATTTTACATTGACTGAGAATAAGACAGTTGAAACAGGTAAGTTTTATTTTTCTAACTGTTAGATCCAAAACCAAGAATAACATGTGATTCTTCCAAGCTCAGCTGCTTTATTGTTTTTAGAATAGAATAGAACTGAAAGGGACCTTGGAGGTCTTCTAGTCCAGCCCCCTGCTCAAGCAGGAGGACCTATACCATCTCAGACAGGTGATTGTCCAGTCTCTTTTTAAAAACTTCCAGCAATGGAGCGCCCACAATTTCTGGAGGCAAGCTGTTCCACTGGTTGATTGTCCTCACTGTCAGGAAGTTTCTCCTTAATTCCAGGTTGCTTCTCTCTCTGATCAGTTTCCAACCACTGTTTCTCATCCTTTTGATACTTATGAATAAACTTTTGCTAGAAAAAGGACTCTACTATCTGCATATACTCTGTAAACTATTAAGGAGGGACTGTCTTCATCCTTTCTCTCACAGGTGACATACAGATTGAGTTGCTTCTTACTCCTCTGGAATGCACCCCTCCCTCCTGGAAATCCACTTCCTTTGTATATTCCATTACACTCACCTTCCTAGGGTGGGAGAGAAATGTCTCAAATTCAGAGTCAAGCACCAATTACATCAATACATTACTTTTTGTGGACTTCCTTTCAAACCAAGAATATTTTAATCATTTAAACACCACAGAAATTACTTGTTCTTCTAGATCAGAGGTATCAAACTCGCAACATCATGTAACATGTCGCAACTATCGCAACTTTTTTGCCATTGCCGGCAATGGGGTGGGCGTGATTTCACTATGATACATCCGGCCTGCGGGCCAGCAGTTTGACACCCCTGCTCTAGATGACCCAAATCTTCATATTATGCAATTTAATTTCTGACAGCATGCAAAGTCATTCACAATAGTGACTTTCAATTAGACAAAAGATATGCTGAGTCTCCATCTTGTGGAGAAGCAGTATTTTGCTGTGTATTCCTAGAACTCTCTGGGTCTAGAAAGGTTATTTGCATGACCCTTCTTTGAGCTGAGAACAATCATGGATCTACTTCACAACTGCCTTCCATTAGTTACCTATGAGGAGATATAACCCTGATGTAATAAACTCCATGCACCTAATGTTCTGCATTATATAATTTGGCAGAATGATTACATTTACCTATCCCAATTAGTATCTATATTCACTATAATTCCTAACCCTTACACCTTTCTTAAACTGACTTTCTTTTTATTAAATGCCCACTTTCAACCAGCAAAAGTCTTCCAACAAGTTTTTCCCCCAGCCAAATATAAACTATTGTTATTGTTATCCAAGAATTACTTGAGCTACTTTTAAAAACTTTTTTAAACAAAGAGCAATTCTTTATGTTATAACAAATTTCAATTTCTTTGTTTCTGAAGCGAGTGACGATGTATGGTATTAAAGGCAATCATAAAAGAAAGAAGATGCAAATTTCAAATTTGTTCAGGTACTTCAAAATTCAAGATGCCTATGGTTTTTAGTTTTTAGTTCTCGGCCTATAAAAATGATAAATTGCAGCAGTGTAATACTTAAGTGACAATGAGGTAGTGAACAAATCAAATCCATTTAACTGCATTTTCTAAATGGCCAATTCAGAACTTGTAACACAGCAGTCAACTCTGTGTTCTGAGAGAAAAGCCAAGTTTGAGCAATCACACTTTACAATCAATTTAACTCAGGGCAATACACAACTGCTGCTGTGGAAGTTTCCTGCTGTGAAAGAAAATGAAGTCATTATCCCCCCACCAAAAAAGAGGAGGGAGGAGTGCAACAATGGAGTCAAGGGCAACTTACAATATGACTAACAAGATAAAATATTCCAAAACAAAATGTCTAGGCCCCAAACAAGTTTCCAATAATATTTTTTTTGCTCTCAATTGTTTTTCTCACTCCTCTTTTCAAAATGGCACATTAAACAGAAGCAAAAGATGTCCATCAGGAAATATGGGTCAGCTACCCTTTCTGTCCTTCTCTTACTGATCTTGATTTGATGTAGGAATATTATAAAGTTAACTCCCATTGCAAATGGATGTTTTCAAGAGGTGCTCTGGCAACCACATTGTTGATCTTTCATCTCTAGTTCATTCAACATCTGATGAAGAGTGAGACATAGAATTGTTAAGCTTGCCTTAACATTCTCTTTGCTCTGCGGATGAGTAAGCAGTTCCTGAAGAATGCAGAATAAATATTTACCTTCATTCTTTATTTTATATTAAATAAACAGTTGTTTTTTTTTAACACTTGCTGATCTTTTATGGCTTAGAAGCCAAGGATGGACCTGCTTGTATTTGAATGGCAGTCTTCCAAAAAATATTTGGCTTGTAGGCTACACAGAGAAGTTGAAGACACCATCTTGGAAGAAAGCAATGGCAAACCATACCACAGAATCACCAGGAGTCATGTTTGGCTTAAGGGAGACTGAAAATTTTAAGTTTGGCTTTAGCTTATTCTCTAACTAAATACAGGTAATCCTCGATTTACAAGAGTTCATTTAGTGACCGTTCAAAGTTATAGCAGCATTGAAAAAAGTGACTTATGACCATTTTCAGTTACAACCCTTGTAGCATCCCCATGATCATGTGATCAAAATTCAGATGCTTGGCAACTGGTTCATATTTATGACTGTTGCTATGTGCCAAGGTCATGTGATCCCCTTTTGCAACCTTCTGACAAGCAAAGTCAATGGGGAAGCCAGATTCACTTAACAATCAGCTTATCAACTCCAGGTTACTAACTTAACAAGTACAATGATTCACTTAATAACTGTGGCAAGAAAGGTCGTAAAATGGGGCAAAACTCACTTAACAAATGTCTCATTTAATAGCAGACATTTGGGGCTCAATTGTGGTTGTAAGTCAAGGACTATCTATAGTAGTTCTCTATGGGATGGATTACAGATATGTTAACACAGAAATCAGCAATTTGTCTACCTCTCAATTTAAATGACAATTCTTTGGAATTCACATGGAATCACAGGATGTAGGTTTCCTGGCAGCTGCATAAATGATGAGTTAAAAACAACAAGGTGTTTCTTTGACTCTGTGTTAATGTGAAATGTAGAATGGATTACATTCAAGGCCTCCAGCTGTGTATTTGCCACCAGCATGCAATCGAACATAATAGTAACACAATAAAAACACATTAGGGGTTAGTATTATTGTGCTGTTGGGACATCTTATTTCTCAACTCAGTTAAAATTTCAGGATAAAAAATTCCCAGGTTTTTTTTTAATAAGTTTCTGTATATTCTTATATTTTTCTTCCCTTCTTCTACTTTCACTATAGAATAACACAAATAGCATAGCTAATAGAAAATTACATTTCAGATATATCTGATGTGTGACTGGAACTGACAGCCATGCAGTTAATCTTTTGTCAGTATAATTAATAGCATTTCCTGGAAATTAGCTCTCAACTCTGAGAGAATCAGGACAGGTTACTCATATGTCTAAGATGCACAAGCTGACAAATCATCTTTGTAAGTCTTAATTTCCTGTAAGAATAAAATTAGAGAACTAAATTATGATATTTCATCACATGGTTAGAAACAGAAATATAATCATAGGGCTGGAAGGGGCCTTGGAGGTCTTCTAGA